TCAGGTCTTCCTCGGAGGGTCATCTACTCGAGTAGGGCATACTCACTTGGTGATGTCCTTTTATGCAGGATGCTGATGGTTGAATACCGAGGTTAAAGGAAAGTCGGCTTTGAAATACTGTTGCTGCTCTTTGGCAGCTGATGATGATATTGACTTTCGCAGAATTGATTATCCGGGAAAAACAGGTTACTATCACTGTACTATCGCAACTATCATCCATCGGCATCCCGCATAAATGGGCATCATCGAGTGAGTATGCCTCATTCGAGGAGATGACCCGTTGAGGAAGACCTGACGCGACACGAAGGCGAAGCGGCTACATCGAGACGAATAACAAGCGTGGACCATCCACTCGGCTCATCGGCTCTGATGAATACGAAGACTCATGAATACACCGGTTTTCATTTAAAAGACGTTGTAATCAGCCACAAACACTTCAGAAATAAACGGTCGCGGGATGGTGCTCGCGGATTATCTGGGGGCTGATTATCAGGTTTATCAAGGTAATCTTTGAAATTTCTACTTCCATAAAACTTTAAAAGTTAATTGTTCAATTAAAAATTTGGTTGAGCGAAATGCGCAAGGCTTGAATGAAACAGTCGTTTCTCGGTCCACCATTTTCATGAGGGCAAAGGTCTGTGAAACACTTTTTTGCAACGAACCATTACTCGATTTCTTTTTTGAAGTAGTCAGCTGTCAGCACAGCACTCCTGAAGAGTGACTTTGTTTCAAATTCGCACTGAAACTTCAGCTACCGTTGTGATGAATGTGTTTTATGTGTACGGAATAAACATGTGCTGAATAACATCCTCGATATTACTGAAAAGAAAAAAGGATACATTTATAATTCATTGTCTAGATTTATAGAAGGTCGGCCTTGGGAAGACAAAGATTAACAACGAGGTAGAAATCGATGGCAAAATTAAGATTTCTGAACTTACTTACTTAATACTTGAATGACCCGTCCTCACTATTTGTGCGGTCCCTGCATATTCTCCACTTTTTCGGAGAATTGCTGGTCAAGCCATTGGGGTTCCCCGGAATCCCGAGATCAACCTGGCCAAAGTCTGCCCCAGGTCGTCACCACGACAAGCAGCCGCAGCCCTTGTTGATCAGAGGGAGATTTGCCACCATACTACTTTGATACCAGAACGGTGGTGGAACCTGGTATTCGTTTACTCTTAGCTAGGCTTCCTATGGAAACGTCGGACTGCTCGGCTTGGGAGACCCTGCCCCCGACTGTGAGGCACACCTCTCACCCACTATAAGGCGGTAAACCGTTAGAAAGATTTCCGAAATCATGTGGGTTATCGCACACGATTTCTAAACTTAGAATTCGAAAACTAACGAAATAACTTTCACGAAACTACAGTGGGCGGATCTATCGAAGTACCATATAAGAACGAACATCGTTCCTGTGTTTCAGACTTTTAGCTAAAGAAGGTGTTCAAATTTTCCAAATACTTCTCAGCATAAGCTAAGCTTGTATTGCCAATAAACGCTGTATAGGCAAGAACCTCTACGTTCACAGTAGGAAACGGTTTCTTGCCCAGCAAAATAAACCAGAGCAAAAAATGTATTCCAAGGTCTTGAAAAATCATAGGATGAGAAAGCAAGTCTAGGTTATTTTTTAATGGTTGAGGGAATTCTACAGTTTTAGTTTGACTATGAGATTTTCAACTCCTTTAGGGTTTGTAAAGTTTCACGGCGGCATCATGCTTTCTCAATGAATATTTGATGTGATGCTAGGCTAAGGTCTCTTATCCAAACCAGAAATATCCACCCATTCGTAAAAAATAGCTTATGCCTTCCTCCAACTGCCGTAAAAAAGAATAAAGCTTCCGGCGTTGATCGGGTCCTGAAGGACGTGCCATACATTTAACTGCATCGAGTCCTCCAAGAGGTTATCGAAAGTATATCTGGAGTATACACTGGCTTGCAGGGGGCTACCGATATATCGCATTAGTGCTGCTGTCCTCTCAGACCGAGACGCGTGTACCGCAATGGTGGGAGCCGCCACTGCGACACACAGTGGAATCATTTCCCACGCCCATGGCTCACCAAGCCTTCCATCCCTCCGGAGTCGGCAGATTGGTACCAGTCCTGTCTGGGAGGATATCAGCACTAGTTCGATACATCGGTAGGTTACCGCGAGTCATTGTAAAAGCCAGATATGCATTCAGTGAACACCAACGATACTTAATGAGGTCGAATGCATGGCGCATCCCTCAAGGATTGATCAACGGCGAGATCTTTATCCTTTGTTATCATCCCAGACAGGTGTGCTACCTATTTTGCCGCCCTTGGAGGGATGGTAGGTTAGACAAGCCTCTGAGGACGGGTCTACACCATGTGGATCCCAGAACGCCTCTAGCCACTGCACTACACTCCCTCCTACCTAACAAATTGCTCACATTTCTTGGTGCATTATCACCACCATTTTGACTATTATCAGAAGCGTAAGGAATTCGTTTGCGGCTGTTTCTCGATCTCTGGCCACTACTCTACTGCAGATATGTAGATGATTGCTTTGTCGTCTTCTCTACGCAGGAGGAGATGGACAAATGCTTTGAATTATTGAACGAGCAGTCCGAGTACATAAAGTTCACCCGGGAGAAACCGAGAAAAAACTGGATTCCGTTTTTGGACGTCCAAATAAACCTATCAAGTAGCGGTTACCTGACAAAGTGGTATCGAAAGCCAAGTAACAAGAACATCCTTGTTCATTTCCTTTCTTCCCACCTTTCACACACAAAGAGGGCGATTGTGAAAAACATGTTTCGAACAGCCACCTCTGTGTGCACTACCAGGGAACTAAAGGAGAAATCGCGCGACTTGGCTCGGCAAAAAACCATCTAGCCACGAAATAGTAACCCCACGAGATAAGTTTAGAAGGGGAACGACGCGCCCACGCGAAACACTTGGCCAAAAGAAAGTCCCGTTTAAATTGCCTTTCATAAGCGTTGAAATAAGCGTAGCTATTAAACGATGTTTAAGAAGGGCAGGTCTAGAGGAATCGGTAGCGATAGTTGAAATACCACCGGCTACTCTACGTCGTCAATTAGTTCGTAACCGCCTGTATGACCGCCTGTGTGAAACAACAAATTGCGTAATTTGCCCTTACGGCAGGGACGGTGATTGCATGAGTTCAAGTACGATATACCTGATCTCGTGTAACAAATGCGGAGATGAATATATTGGCGAAACGGGCAGACCTTTGTGTATCCGTATAAAAGAACACCTAGATGGCAAACGAAAACTAAGACGAAGCACCCCACTAGGCACGCATAGGATACAAAAGCATAGCGGAGACGATTTTGAAGTAAAAGTCAATATCCTTGCACAAGAGACTAAAACACCAGCGCGAGAACTTCTTGAGGCTTTTTGGATAAATGCCAAAAACTCTACAATGAATAGAGGGGATGAATGCCCAGAGGTCATACAAGACCTGACCCCGTATGTTCGCATCGATTTTTGATGTGGGATGGTGCAGTCACCAACCACATGCGACTATAATCAGCTGTTCTAAACTTCCTCATTGGAAGTCACGAAAAAGCGGTGGGTTTTTTTTCGTGAAGTTGTTGATCATGTAATTACCAAAGAGTCTTTCGTCTTTTTGTAAGTGTCATTGAAGCGTTTGGCCTAGTAGATCGTATATCAGTATACCCTTTCAGGCTCTGAAGAAGGCGATACTGCCCAAACGTCAGCTAGCGTTGTATTGTATTGTGTTTCTCTATGGAAGTAAATGTATGCTGTTTAAAAGCCTCGCGATTGCTTAACAAGAAAACGACGTTTTCATATTCCAATGCCGAGGTTAATAGAAAGTCGATCCCGGGAACTATTACAAGATGTAGCAGAGAGGATAATCCTTTATTAACCTCTCAGACAGGTGTGCTACCTATTTTGCCGACTTCGGAGGAATGGAGTACTAGGCAAACGTGTGAAGCTGGATCTATCCCATGTGTATTCCAGAATGCCTCTAGCCACTACACTACACTCGTCCCTACCTACCTCCCATACTGCTCCTATATTTCTTCGAAATAAAATAACTCTTCGTCGGTCGTGGAAGGATCAAGAACTTGGAAGGGTCAAGTTGACAGCAATCCGTTCGGCCAAACACCTCCATAACTAAACAGAGGTTTAGCGTTTTCTCTTCCAGGCTCTGAGGAAGGCGAAATCGGCCGAAACGTCAGCTTGTGCGTAAATAAAGAAATAACATAGCACCTCATGTTTGCTCAACAGAAGTAGAAAGATATATTTTCATTGATTTCTTCAACGTCGGTGATAAACTAGACAGAAAGAGCTTTCATGATGACGTTCACTACTAGTATTATCGTCGGGACAGTTGTTAGTGACCTCGTCGATCAAGAAGCGAAGGTGCTGGTTCGATTCCCATCCTAACCCTCTCCTCCAGTCCACGTGAAGACGTCTCTGCCAGACTACACCAAACATTGAATGATGAATCGACTCGATCAGCCTTCTACGACATTCACAGAAGAAGGAATTTTCAAGCAATAGCCGAAACAACCAGAGAAATGTTCAAAAACCTTTGTAGACAACGTATGAGAGGAAAGGGAACGGATTTGAGAAAGTGCTGGGATCAGCACTGTAGGTGTGATGGTGTTTTGCTATGTCCACTACAATCCGAAGCCAATGGTATTCTCCCTAAAACATCGACATTAATTCAAATGCGGAATTTTTGCTTTCCATGTTGATGTCTATTCTGTGAAGCCATACTTCATTAATACTTAGTGGATAAAAGTCAGTCGATGTAACTGGACCTTTCAGTCTAGTGATAGCACCATCTATTGAAGAGCATACGAATTTCTTGAAGTTGTTAGAAGGAACCGATGGAGAATAGAGATTCCGAAGAATCAGCCTTCAGTGCAAAGGAGATTCTGGCCACGGACAGAAGTAAGCCTTCTTTGTGTTGAGATTGAACCAAATGCGATAAGGAATAACAATTCCCACGAGGATCTTTACTAAACTGATAAGTCGTAATGGCCATCATATCACAGCAACCGCAAGGTATGAAACACGAAAATGCAAGTGTTATCACGGTTAAGGAGTGCTTATGGATACCGGTGATAAGTTCAATCTTTTTCGATAGGGTGTCTTTATACGTTCCATTTTCTTTTAGCTGTAAGGCTAATGTTGTGTTTCAAACGCTCTCTGAATGAGAATCTACCAACTCAGGTGAGTATTTCCACCAGAACACTGGTGGCTTGTGGAATGGTTCTCCTACTTTAACCTCCATAATAGTAAAAAGCCTTTTGAGGTGACGAGCACAAGCTCCGACCAGATTACTGCTTGTTGGGTCACTAGTTTTTTCCGCGCGGCTTTTCCTGGGCAATCTGTGAAATAAATGCCACGCAAAGCAGAATCATTTTTGGAGGCGAATTGTTAACGGGTTTATGAGAGAAGTCGCTCCATACTAATTCCCAAATGAGTGACTAAAAATTCCTGCTTGGCGGTCACGCTTCTAACAGGTGAACATCGTTCTCGAAGTGGTGTGTTTTCTGACTTCTCACATCATTAGGAGTTGTTTGTTTCAGGAACAATTATGTAGTGAACCAGGCTCGATGTGTGGGTATGTAGAAAAGGCTCTATCGATGTCGAAATGGGAGCGACGTCTGGCAGTGATCACCAAGGACGGCAAGCTCATCATTTACAAGTACTACTTACTCGACATATGCCCTGGGTTAGGATTTCACCACACGCAGCTGCCCGTACTGTACTGATAAACCGTTCCGTAGCTGAAGGTGCTGCAGGCAAAAATCCTTGCAGCTGGAATCAAAACACCATCGAAAACTTTTATTAAAGTGTTATAAGTCGAAATGTTTTTAAAAACCAGCTGAAGTGGCTCACAAAAAAATGGAAGCTGTAAATGTGAAACTCGTCCGGAATTCCTCTATTAAAGTGACCCTATGTAAACAGCCGCGTGACTATGTTCAAATTTTTGAAAGATTTAGTGATGCCAGGCGTATTTATTTCCAAACGTTTCCTCATTGATCGGTAAAATAGACCGATGACACGGACCAAAATCACTGCGAGTTTATAAGGGCCGTTGCGAATTTCGTATTTCTAATGGTCGCTGTTAATACATGAAAAGCAAAGGGTAAAGGTTAATCAGTCCCTAGCAAGTGCACATGCATTCAACTTCATAAAGCATCTTAAAAGTGACTGGAATCATATATGGCCCATATATACGGTGGTTTACCGACGAACCGTCTGAGATTCTTCGTTTTCCCAAAGACGCCCTGGTAGTAACCGATAGTTTACTTAGGAGGGATGGAGGACAGTGAGACCGAGGCGCAACATCGTACTAGCGTTTAAAATATGCAGTGTAAACCACTCTTCTAGAACCATACACGACTTTTGTTTCGAAGAAACACTGCGTATTTCCATCACAGTTAGCAAGACAATTTTGCCATTTGTTAACGAATAGGTTTAAGTCATGGTGCCCGTTTACGGCGATATTCTACGATATGTAGATGATCCACTTCAGGCAGCCACTCATTGGCAAGACCTATCAGTTGAATAATGTGAAAAAAATGAACATAAAACGTTTTCCAAACGGCGAGATAATTTCACGTATTCAAACAACGGACGGCAAGAAGGTGGGTGAATTCTTGGTTAGCATTGTGGAATGAACTCGTGAAACTTCCCCCGCAGCTGAGCTGTTGCTGAACATGCTTGTGCAGATTCCCATTGAAAATAGACAACAAGGCCAGTCGGTACGAGTTGGCCTGAGTGCCTTAAAGTGAAGCAGCTAGCAATGTTCTCTCACCCCTCGCACTCTTTCTCTCTTGCTCTCTCTCCTCCTTCCATCTCCTTCCCTTCTCTCTCTCACTCCCACACTCTCTCACCTCCCTCAATGCCCTTTCCTCTCCATCTCCTCTCTTCTCTCTCCGCCTCTCTCACTCTCTCGTTGTCTCCCTCCCCTCTCCCTACCCTCCTCTCTCTCCAAAACCTCTCTCTCCTCCAGCCCCGCACTTTCTCCTTTTCTCTGCGTCTTTCTTCTCTTTTTTTGCGCTCTTTTCGTTTCACTGTTTCACTGTCACCCGATACAAGAGCTATTCAGACAGTTTAATCGTAATTCAGTTAAAACTGAAGTTCACCAATGAAAATGCCTCAGCTTGGGCGGCTAAACTAATTCAGTAAGTTCTTCCATCTTTAATGCATTTCTTAAGCTTCATTTTACACGACCCTCGTCACATCAAGTGTGGCAATCACAGCAATTCCTGCATTCGATTCCTTCCCTCACATCCGTCATCCATGAAAGCCTTCGAACTTTCCGCGTGGAGGTTCGGCTGCTGCTTGAAGAGCATCGTTTTCTTGCATTGAGATAATGCCTAGAGCCATAAATAACAATAATATAAAAAAGAATAACTCACATTAGCCAATAATGCAATTGTGCGCGGTTGTATTCGCGCTTCATGCCGCAGGCCTTACAGTTTGCTAGCATTAGAAAGAAAATATGGCATTGTGCATCACAGTGAATAGTTTACGATTGTCATAAAGCAGTAAGATTTCAATACTTCCTAGCCCTAGATCTGATAGAGCGGCCTATCATCAAAAAGTCAAACATTGGAGGATTCTCGGACCAGTCAGCACCATTAATTGTGATTGGTATCGATCCCACTCCTTCAGTGGAAACAACTCAAGATTTCATCAATTCACCACGAAAGTCAAGTTCATGGGCTCACTACGCTATGAATGACAGCAACAAGTGTTATGGACGATAGTTACCTAGGTTTTCCATTGAAGGTTGGGCTTCTCACAGTAAAAGTACCGAGTGACACAACTCATGTACGGAAGTGGATTCCTAAGAACGCTTGAAGAAACCACATCTTTAAAGACGCAGTACAGAGTAATAAATTAGATGCTTAGACGCCCATCTTCACGTATCGTATGCGCATCTGTATATCTCTTCCTTTCGACGCCATCTTCGCTACATGAACCGAATGCTATCGCACCCTTCAGTCAGTGTTGCAATGTAGGAGTTGACGGCTACTGGCAATGTCTCCACAAATCATTCTATATTCGGCCTTATCCATTTTTCTCTCTTTCGTTCTTAAATTTTCTTTCCAAAATTCAGTAGTCAAATCGGTCATGGAGTTGAAACTGCAGTCATTGCAGCATCCAGGGACAATCAGTGGGTCACCATTCGCATCCTCATAAGAACTACGAGCAAGAGTGTGAAAGGTGGCATGCCGATGATCGCATGATTATGTCGTGAGTTTCCCTCTTACTTGTTAACTGTTTACGCTTATTCCACCTAATGGCGACCATTAGACCACAGCTCAACAACTGCACGTCTCGATATTCGCGATGAAGGTCTTCAGAGTCTTCTGCTGATTTCCCTGAATGTCCACTATTTTGTTGAGTAGATAGGCCCAACTTCACTGCAACGGAGAGTGGAATTTCGCTGGGCACAAATGTATGTCACTACGACATTTCTTCCAAGATACCTAAGAATCTTGTTACTGATTTACGTCTAGATGAATTTTGCATAGGAACATCAAACTTTTGTTTAGTTTTGATGACCCTATTTGTGCAATAAAGCCCCTTTAAATAATAGGTTGACATCCATGTAACTCGTCACCTG